GCTCGCCTTCTTCCTCGGAGAAGGCCACGAGAGGGTCATCGACATAGTTGGCTATATAAACACCGTCCATTGACACGATACGTTCTATGGCCACTTCGCCGTCCTCGTTGCTTGCCTGAATCGCACGATTGCCTTTACAGTGATTGGCCGAGAGTAGCATGGACAGTCGAGGCAATCATCTCTCCCCTGCTTACCACATTGGGCAAGCTAAGAGAGAATAGTGTTCCCGTTGCATCGCTTGCGTAGATGTTGCCAACCTCTCGACCGTTTTTCCACCCGTGATGGACGTGGAGCATGACAAAACCTGTGATTGCAACGCATGCAATGCGAAGGTCTAGGTAGCGCACCGTGGGCGGCGTCGAGGATCGTGTAGCTGTGTTGTTCCAGTGCTACCGGGATCCTCGCTGTAGCGAACGATTTCGCGCCGTTGGCTGATACTTCCAACCGAACGGTGTTGCCTGAGACCTCTTCCTCTGTGAACACTCCGCGAAAGGACCTCACTGCCGGCCACGGCTTTAGCCACGAAGAGGTAATCCTTGGTCATGACAAACTTGTTGCCACCGGGTATGAGAGTATTGACCGATTGCCCTAAGGAGAGACCGGTCATGGTACTGTTAATGCTCGTGCGTTGTGAGTTTCGAAATCGAAATCGGGCGGCTTCCATTTCGAATTGAGCGCTACCGTTGTCATCAGTGCACGCAAAGTCGATGTCTGAGAACCATCCGTGGAGATGTGGTTGGTCTCCAGACTTCTTCCTGAAAGTCCGGTATCGTCTTCGTATGCGAAAGAAGTCAATTGAGACAAACAGGGAACAGCACGTTCACGGCTATAGACTGGAATGACTCGGATCAAGCGAGAAAACCTTTGTGTCGTGATGGAACTTTTATTCGATAACGTCTGGTTTTCTCAGTCGACCTCAAGAGCTTCCTCGGTACATTATGAAGACTTACACATAACTTTGAATAAAAATGTACAAAAACCAACAAAAATTTTCCACAATTTTCATTTTCCCATAGTTTCTAGTGAAGATGAGCTCTTGTCCTGTGATCTCACTTGTGATGTGTGAAATATATCCTATTGGCAGATCCGAACTTGGTAGATCCCCAACTGAACTGGACAACATATGATGCTACTATAGAGAAAGTCTTGCCACCGTCCTGAGGAAAGGATCCTCGCTCAGCTGTTCGTTGGAGGATTTTACACTGGTGCGGTAGAGAGCGTGCTGGCAAGCATTATCAGGATCTCGCTCATGCGTGTGGAGATCGCAGGATTTGCTCCAGGAGGATACGAGAGCCGACCTGGTGAAGGGATGGGAGATTCGTCAAAGGTCATCGATGTGATCTGGTTCGACTTTGAGTCAGTTGGGTGGAACAAGTACGTATGAAGGCCCTGGTGCTTGATAAACCTCCACGACTTGCCTGAATCCTCACTGAGGTAGTGCACCTGTTTCGGCGGCTCTACCGTCGAGGATTAGTGCTGTAATCTTACGTGCTTCACTCCTACTAGGAGAACGACATTGTTGTCGCTGGGATGCGGTCCAATCAGCTTTATTCGGTCGCTGTCAGCAGGCATCTCATTGACACCAGTTGTTCGCCTGAATACCGCAGTTTCTGTGCGAGTGTAGAGGAGTGGAAGCATCCGTCCAAAGGTCAGCTGAATTCACGAGTCTTACGTGATAGACTTTTGGCCGAGACCATCTGTTATTTTCTGCCAGGACAGGCCGGAGTCGGGCGACCTTGCAGGCCTCCAGCGTTAGGCTCAGGTTGCTCTCTCGACTTACCTGTACACGTGTCCGTTCTCTGTCCGGAATAATATGACTTCTTGTTTTTCACCCAAGTACACGATATCGGCTATCGGACTGTCGGGCGACTGAAAGGTTTTCAATCTTAACGTGTGCTGCTACTGCGATCGACCCAGCACGAAGTGAGTGGTCGAGGAAATGCTAGCCGAGAGCGAGAGATTTGATATTGCACACGAGCCTGGTCAGTGGCATTCGGACTGCAATGTAACTCCTAGGGGAAAACATGTCTTACCACATCTTGAATGGCGACCTTGGGTTCGCTCGCAGATGAGGCTTTACATCTAGAGACACCACAGAGATGGAAGATGAATACGAACAGCGATACGTCGAACAGCATATGGAGTAAGAAAGGAAACGAGTGGAATAGCTTCAGAGAACCTGCTCGGAATCATCGCAGGTTCTAGTCCCACATCCGTCATTTTTTCCGTCAATATCGCTTGAAAATCTACATAAGCGAACGAGATGAGACTACTGTGCTCATGTGTTTATCTTCCACCAAGGAAGTATCCAAATCGCTCCTGTTCATCGTCTGGAAAGGAGATAGGACATGGGCTGATGTGACACCGAAGAATGCGGTTGCTCTCCTTTAATCGTTTACTGGTACATGGATATTTCTGAGACATCCGATAGACACATCTCACATATCTTGGGGTGAATTACAAAATCCAAGGAGGTTTGTCGCTCGCCCTCAGCAGTTCGGGTTTCTGGTTGCCTTGGGTTACAGCTTTCACCCGTGTAACAGCTCGGGTTTCTGGTTGCTTTGATAAGAGCTTTCATCTGTATAGCAATTCGGAGTTCCGGTTGACTTGTCGGGTTTCGGGTGGGGTTTCGGGTTTACCCTTCAACTCTTCTTCCTTGCATTTCGTATATCAACTCATATCTTGGCACACTTCTTGTCTGCATCTTCGAAGTTTTCCGTTTCATCTTTTTTACCCGGATTTCCAAAAGTGCAGTTCCGACCATGTTGATCTTCCACCCAGCTTCGTTGCTTTCCAAATGGTATCACAGTCACTCATCGACCTCTTCGGAGATCATCTTGTTGTTGACGACGGACGCATGGTGGAAACAGCGTCTGCCCTGGAAGGTACCACCGGCCTCCATTCCCGTTATCTGCAGTCGATGTTATTCTGCTGTAGGTTGCACAGCAGTTGGGATTTACTTCTCGGCTCACTGGTGCCCACCTTGCCGACGATTCACTCCCGAATTGGCGCGTAACTATACCGAGCACTACGTCAAGAAGGGTCTTAAGATCGTCTTTGTTTCCTCTGACCGGTCCGAGGCGGCATTCAATGAGTACTTCAGTGAGATGCCGTGGTTGGCATTGCCTTTCAACGAACGTGGTATGAGAGATAAGCTATCGAAAAGGTCACAACACGTTGACCAGCACACGTGGAACTCTGTGTGGGTGCAGGTTCAAAGTGTCGGGCATTCCTATGCTCGTCCTTGTCAATCCGGAGGGTCAGACAATCACCACTGACGGTCGTGGTGCTGTCGCTGACGACCCAACAGGGGAGGACCTTCCCTGGATTCCAAAGCCGATCACTGAACTACTCCCAAGGAACTTCATCGATAAGGACGGCAAGGAAATCGATAGAGAAAGTCTGGCAGGGAAACATCTTGGGTTGTAATATGAAGAGATGTGAAGCGGCTGGTGGGCGGAAGTTGGGCTCTTGTAGATATTTTTCGGCGCACTGGTGCCCACCCTGTAAGAAATTTACTCCCTTGCTGACCTCCTGGTATACACATACACGTCCTAAACTGGCCGACAAGTTTGAAATCATATTCGTGTCAAGTGATAACAGTGAGCAGGAGTGAGTACCATTCAGCAATCATTAACGGTTTACTATGGATGCCTGTAGGTATCGTGAGTATCTTTCTACTATGCCGTGGCCGGCAGTTCCGTATGACCAGCAGGCCGCTAAGGGAGCACTAGAGAAAGCTGTTGGGGTAAGTGGACGAGTTAAAGAGGGATCGGGTTGAATCTCACGTCAGGTGAATGGCATTCCAACTTTAGCTATTGTCTCTCCCGAAGGCAATCTTATCACCGCTAATGGTCGTGGAATCCCAACTTCTGATCCCAACGGCTGCTTCTTCCCGTGGATCCCCGAGCCGTTAGGGCATGCACTGCATGTCGTGAGCTAACCACTGGTTATAGGTACCACGATCTTGACGCTAACCCGGACGGAATCAATGATAACGTATCGGTTTGTATTTTCTTTGGATCGGGATGGGACTGTTCAACTCTAGGCGCCATCAAGAAGGATGTAGTACTCTTTCAACTCTCTAGAATGCCACGCCAGAGTGGTGATAGTAGTGGTGATAGCAGTGGTGATAGCAGTAATGATACCAGTAGTGATAGTAGTGGTGATAGCAGTAATGATAGCAGTAGTGATAGCAGTAGTGATAGCAGTAGTGATAGCAGTAATGATAGCAGTAGTGATAGTAGTAGTGATAGTAGTTGTGATAGTAATGGTGATAATTGTAGTGGTGATGGTCATAACTCCCGCCGAGTTCGGTTCTCAGAGACAAGTTATATTCAGGTTTTCCATCCAATCGCCGAAAAGTTAGCATCCTACGACGTCAGTCTATACTACTCCACCCATTTTGATGGTGAGATAAGCGAACAGATAGCCGGGGCCTGTGGGGATATGGAAGAGCCCGGGGATAAGAAAGCTACTATTCTCGTCATTGACATTCCAGATCGGGGTGGATACTATTTGTGCGCCGAAAACGTCGTAAGGGCCCTTATGTGAGAGGCTCAGTGTCAAAATTCTCCGTATTGGCTTTAGGAGACGCTTACCTTGGCCGTGTTAGAGGAAGCTTTTGAGAAATACCATAAGAAGGATGTCCCACGACTGCAGATGAGCTAAGAATTGCTTATAGTATCACTGGAGAGGTGGAAGCGTTTATAAAGCCTATCTGATCGGATTTGGAAGAGATTCTTGTTTATGCAGTCGAGCGAACTTGTTTTTCCTAGAGGATGTTCCTATTGCGTTCGGTATCATCGCTCGACAGCTAAGGGGAAAATGGTGAAGTCGTGGAGTAGCATAGAATGCATCGCCACAGTTCCTTGTGCTCGCCTATTATGTTCCGAACTCGCGGTCGGGGAGTGATGAGGGGCGGCCAACAGGAGGCGCATTTCTGCCTCCCTGCTGTACCACGACGATGTATACTCCCGGGAGTAGCGGGCATCTAAGTTTTGGGTGTGGACTCAAGATCACTTGCTCAGCAATGTTACTTCAGGATTATACCAAGTCGAGGACAGTGCGAGACTAATTAGGGGGTCTCCGAGTGTGGCGGTGGGGAATAGTCTCATCCATGTGATTGATTTCCCTCTGATCGAATCAAATATTCCCGCACAAATGTTCCATACCACACCTTGACATCCTTGTAAGGGCGGATCAATAACGCAATGCACTAGTCTTCCTCTGGACAGCTTTGATAAAGTACATACGATTCAATGGATTGTATTCAATGCAAAAGCTATTCAAGAGTACAAAGAGGTTATTCGACAATCACTCACGGTCAATTTGAAGAATAAACATTAATCTGTCGAGTGATTTTGCAATGCACGAAGTGAACTCATTCGACTGCTGGAACTCTTGCGGTTGCGAAGAACTGCCATCCTAGAAATGAGAGTGTCTATGTCCGAGTCAATTGTATTGATAAGAGTCGCATCCTTCTGGTCTACATCGGGGAAGGGGATCTCTAGATGGGCGGAAGCTCTCGCGACAATCTCAGCCAGCTCAGTAGACTCGGCCAAAGGAGCTCTCTCTTCTTCTTGCCATTCGTTGGGCTTGGGGATGGCAATTGCTACGAATACGCGAACAACGACGAAGAACTTCTCCAGGATTATACCCGCACCTAGACGGTGAACCATGGAAGCATCCAGCGCCGCAAGAGTATCACAATGGACGATGAGGATGAATACGTTGATTGATGCACCAAACAGGACCATACCGTTGAACACGTTGGCCCAGAAGGAGCCCATGGCCTCTTTTCGTGGATACGGTCTTCTACTCGAATTCAGCTTGATAGCATCAAGACTGAACTCCACCAGATTGTTCATATATGCGAGAATGAATGCAATCGGGAAAAGAGGACCGAATGCAACCAGTTGAGCTAGTTGGATGGCCATCTCTAAGTATTCACGCCAAAGTCCCCACTCTGGGAGCTCGTGCTGGGCTGCTGCTGTGAGTGGCGCCAAGTGCTTCCTTTTCGTCATCAGCCGCGCCAGCAAAGTAGGGACCGCTTCAGTGAGTGCTGACACCACCTGCCTAGTGGTGAACATAACTGTGACCTCTCGGCTCAAGCGGTTGAAGTCAGAAATGACAAAGGCCATCCAGATGGGCGGGACGAACACGTTGAAGACCTCAAAGATGATAACCTTCGAAGCCTCCGACGTCATGAAGTTCCTATCGTCGACGTGCCGCTCAATCCGAGTGAGCCAGCTGGCCAACTTGGCGAAAGCCGATGATACAAGTAGACGTAAGAGTGAGAAGAGAACAGACACTATCATTGGGTCCACCAGGTAAGTTCGCTCGATATGCAACGTCCACATTAGCAGCCCGCATGATCCGAGTAAGGACAGGCCTAGCAGTACCTGCAAATCACAGGGAAATGTAAGCTCGGGCTTATCTATTTCACAGTGATAGAACCTAGAGTTTCAGCGAGCGACTATCTGGCGACCGTTTATAAGAACGACGAGTCGGTTCAGGCGCTGTTAATTTAGCAGAGTAAATGCCAACGGGACGGATCCCCTTTCTCATGAAGCCACTATATAGGTGGCAGTAGGGCCCATGAAACCGAGCCTCTCCGAATGCCAAGGAGAAAAAGAAGAACCATCAGTACTTACCGCGCTGATCAGTCGTCTCATGACCAAGCCCAGGTGACTCGATGAGACAGAAGCTTCAACGTAAAGGCTCTGAGTTGGAATGTCTTCGAGTATTTCATCGATAGCGTGCGATCGGAAGTGCTTCAGAGAGGAACGCGGCTTGTCCCATTGCCGCTTTAATGAGGCTCTGAAGTAAATACCAACATCGACGGGATAAAGCCGATCGAATCCGACTCACTTTTTCGTCACCCATCCCACATCCATCAGCAGTAGTCCCCACAGGGTTGTCACCCCACTCATGATGATCCATTGAGTGTCCTTACTAAGAGTGTTGGGGAGCGATACGGTGATGCCAAGAAGGGCGGGCAAAGCTAACCATCTGGTGTAGACCGAGAGGAAGCCGAAGTAGTAGCCTACAGAATCGCCATAATACCTGCAATGATAATAAAGAGCCACGTGCGTGCAAACGTTTTTCTCATGCATATGCGTAAAGAAAATAATTTCTCGGCGAATATTCGTATGATTTTCTAATACGATAAATGTACTGATAAAAGCACTTTACGTACAGTAAACACCATAGTAGTTCGCCTACATGTTTAAATTCCTATAGTCTTTGAATAAACCAGCACTGCGGCGTTCATTGTGCAGTGGGAAGACGTCTCGAACGATACCATAGCGTCGAAGCACTCGAACAACCGACACTTCATGCAGCATCGACTCCGTCCTCTCCCGGCCAAACTTCATCGCCTCTGGGACTCGACTGTACTTCTCAACGACTTCTTTCACTGCTTCTCTAAGTCCCGCTTCGTCCTCTGCAGTCAGCGAATAGAGGTAAGCCGCAGTCGCCTGTATCTCGACTGTTCCATACGTGTCTCCTTGGATCGGACGTTGAAGTTTGAGAAGAAGGAACGACAGTTTCGACTTGGATGACCTCTCCTGTCTACACTCAATGCCTCGTTTCCTTAGAGCCTCTTTCAAGCACGCTAATAAGCCCGCTGACATACGCGCTGTAAGGGTGATACAGATGGACATCGTACGGGGCTGTCGAACATCTACTATGAAGAGCAGCTAGCAGGAATAGGAGCTTTCCAACACGACTATTCACCCTATACAAAAAAGAACACTTGATTGTGAATCGACTTCAGTAGAGCTACAGCGATAGGAGTCAAACACTTGCAGTCATTCAGATTACATTCAGCGACTCTAATCTGAATTCACACTTCCACCGACTCACACCGCCTTCCTATGTTCAGTAACATTCAGATACCATCACAGTTTTCACACCACACAAGCCCGCCCTGATCAGCATGAGCATTAAAAACGAACTACAATGGGACGTAGAATTTCCATGCAAGGCGCTTAGGACCGAAGTCGTGAACATCGTATCGGTCTCCTACTTGACAACACTTCCTCAGAGAATCCGAAACGACGCCGCAGAGAGTATGTCCACACAAGGCACCGTGAGTGAAACATTGCTTCTCCGGCAGCTTGCAGTACGGCTCAATGATAACCGCTAGACAAGGGCTGTGATGATGGCCGGTGTATTAACCAGTTCATGACCTACACCCAATGCTGGAGCGGTATCCATAGCGAGTGATAAACCCTGTCATCTTTCCGTGACATAACATAGCACTGTATACTGCTCATTGAAACGCTATATTTCATAGTGTTAACGTAAGGCTCACGCCAGGCCCTTTGCCCAGTCGAATGCTTCGAAGGCTTTCCTCAACACTTTCATATCCTCATTGTATCTGATCAATGACTCTGCCAAGACAACCGCTTGAAACGAGCTGCCCGAAAATATCATTTTCCAAGTATTGGTAGAGCCTCTGCCATCCAACTCACTTTTCCTCACCACCGTTGCCAGGCTGATCGTAGTGCACCAAACTGAGCTTGTCGATTTCGAGCATACCAGCGATGGTTTGCTGAGAAAAAAAAGCTCAGGTTCGCCCTGCAGTATGCGACTCACCAGCCCATAGTCCCAACGGAACTCCTTTGCCTTGTCGATTATGTGTACTAGGCCCACTTGCAGGCCGAAATCAACGTGCATGTACCTGGGGAGTCGCTTCCAGATCAACGGCAGCAACATTCACTACGGAGAAGACGGCGGTATTCCCGAACTGCTGACATCGCTCCGCCCTTTGCATTCGACTATTTTCGGCTGGTTACTCCACGTGTCACCACTCAAGCTCATGCCCTGGCGAAAGTATCTACAACACAGAGGTTCTCGGGAGGCCATCACAGATGATGCGACGGCCTACGACTCGAGTTCCTTGACCCTGTCGTGTGGTATGGGGAAGCACTGCATAGTCGTATGAGCCCCTCCACCCAGTAGAGCCATCACGTCATCATCTGATCACAGTACAGCTAGTGACAACATCACAGACAGAAGCTCACTTTGGGGAGGGGTTTTCACCGTCTCGATGAATACTGGTACGCAAGGAGGGTCCATAGTAGCGTAGTAGTGTACGAGACATTTCTGAACAGTGTCGGACATTATACACATAAAAGATGACAATATAAGATTATTGAGAAAATTCTCATTGGTATTAGTACATTTCTACCCTAAATTGTATGTAGTTAAGGAGCTCCTGACCTCAGCTGAGGACTTCAAATTTATATTCCAACACACTTTCGGGAAGGCGAGGTCGACTGCCTATCACAGCAACTCGGTAGTCAAAGCTATTTCACCAGAAAGCCAAACCGTTGGCGAAGTGAACAGTCATCACAACAGCTCCTCACCTGGTAGTTTCTGATCTCCTCAGCCGTCTCCTCATCAGCCGTCCTTAGCGATGCACAGTGGTTTTGAGGCACTATGATCACTTGCCCTTGCAGTAGCGTTGACTTGTAGCTGACCGCAACAATACAGTTGAATCTCCCATAGAAAAAACCCCCCGGTACTTGGCCATGCAGATGTATACTCTCGGGCTCACTGCGATTAGCTTCTCCTCGCGATTGCGGGCCCAGCTCGAGTGCTCCATACCTGAACGAAATATGGAGACCTCAATACACTGAAACTTCACAGGATTCACATCTAAGTTCGGACAGTGTGGGAAATACGCACATGCTCAACTGCATATGTTGGTGACACTATGGAAATTCCGAGGAAATTTCGAAGTTGCTGTACATCCGAATTCGTATGTCAACTCCTATAATGAGTGAGGGAACTCCCGAGCTCAGCCGAGAAAAGCCAACACATATTCCAACACTAAACACACTTGGTGACACGATAGAACTCCTCATAATAAAAGCTTACATAGATCACATTCACGCTGGGTCCTTCTAGCCGCCCGTCTCTCGCCCCTCTCCTCCTTTCTCCTCGTCTCCTCCGACACCCATCCCGTCCCTGATCACAGTCCATCTCAGCGGTCCGCAGGTCCCCGATGGCCCTACCCCTATATCTACGTTTCTTCTCCCTGGACAGCTCAGCCGGCATGCTCTCCGTAGGATTCTCACCGCCTCCTCCCAGCTCGGTAGCCCCAAAGTACTCATCTTCATCGGCGCTTCCTTGAAACCGTTTGTTCTTCCTGATATTTTCCGCCAGGTGTTTGTCGTATTCACCACTTCTGACCCCTCGACCAGCCCTCTCCCTAAAAGAAAAACTCACCCTAGAGCCGTCGAGTAGCCCTCTAAGCACTGTCGAAGGAGCTCCGAGACGTCCATCTTGTCCTCATCCTTATTATCCTCTCTCGCAGAGAGCATCTTCGCCCGACTCGACCCGGCGCTTCCCAGTGCCTATCCATACCACTCCTCCCTCTCGTATCTCTACACCCCACTACTACCCCCTGGCCCTTCAGGGTCTCATCGACCACAACCGTCTTAGTCGCCATCAATGAGTTGAGCCGCTCGTACTCCTCCATGTCCCCAGCTAGCATAGCCCTCATAGCTGCTGCCGAGACCTCGTTGGCATCCAGGCCGTCCGCGTCAACTAAACTCAGCGACGTCAAGTCTATCTCCGACCCCCGCCCCCCTACTACCTTGCCCCTTAGGACAGGCCTCTTCCCCACGCCCTTCACTTCCGTCTCGCTTACCATGGTACTTATCAGCCAGTTGGGCCAGGTCATCTCGAGGGGCCCTAAGGAGACTCTTTCTGTCCTAAACTCTTGCCCAACCCCTCACCTGCCGCGTGGTCGGCGCTTCTCCTCCTCCTCCGATCGGCTCCGACTCCTACCCCAGCCCCTCCTCCTCCCCTCACCGCGATGCCCAGACCGACCGTCGTCATTATCGTTATGTCTCCTCTCCCTAGAGCTCGTCTCAGAGGCACCAGAGTCCCGCTCAGACTCCCGTCGCCGTCTCGCTGCCCGAGCTTGCCATCGGCGCCCACCAGAATTGACCAGACAACTGCAAGGAGGCCCCTCAGGACCCCAAGATCGCCATGGTAGTACCTCTCGGGCAAGGCCCACGGGTCTGTCGCCTTAGTCTTTTCCGACATATGAGCTCGCTCAGAAAGACCTTCATCATTAGCAAGGTCACTAAAACAGTCCTCTATATGTTTGCTTTCCTCAGCTGAGCCCAAAAATTTTCCTCACGAAATTATGAAGATCCACTCAAAATAAGGGTGGAAATCTGCAAAAACCAACAATAATTTCCCGAGATTTTCTCAGAATTTTCCTATTCTCGCCAACACGTGTGCATATCCATCCGCCCTCTACATTTTATTCATGCGCTCATCAGATTCCTTCCTGAGCCTCTCCTTCTCAGCCCTCCGCTCCGCCGCCTTCCTTTCCATTCGAGGAACCGCCATTTTTCCTACACCCAATCGACAGCCTCCCTCACCCCCACATACCACTCCTCACCCATTTCAAACATTGCAGCCAACCGGTCCGCCGTGGGGTCAGCACTGCCACCGGTCATCCACTCGTCCCGCTTAGGACCCTCCTCACTTCTCGAAGACTCACTGTCCCGTTGTCCAGCCTGAGACGGGCCATTTCGTCATCCACAGTTTCGTTTGCTCTCTACAGAGTCGTCGCGGGGCTCAGCTTCCACGTCCCTTTCCCGATGGTGATGATGACGATGCTTTGACTTTTTATCCTTTTTAGACTTCTCCTTCACTCCGCTCACCTTTACCGCGCCGAACATGTGAGACCACGGAACCCACCAAAGCTGTGAGTAAGTCACTTCTCGACGGATTCATCATCTACAGTGCGTGCCTATTTGATACTATGCAAATGTGAAGAATGTGTGTTTCCGTGATCAACGATGCAACAACTTGTCGCTATCGCTTTAACAGGTTACTTTCATCACATCACATGTCCATAGCAATGTATATGTTGTTTATGCGATATAGTTCCAGATCGATCTCGAGAAATAACATACATTTCTCACACGCACTGCACAAGAGGGCTCAACCCTAGAGCGCGCCTTGACCTACCACTACGCCGATACCATTAGAAAAACCCAAAGAGCCTCTCTACAGAAAAGTACCACTCGGAAGGTCTCTCACTAACGGGGTTATGAATTTTAAGTAGGGCATAGTAGGTCAATCGGTATCGATCAACTTGGCGCGCGCGATGTCGAGATGGGATATTCGAAAACAGGCCAGGAGCTGCTCCGGAAGCTCACTGTCGTCTTCACCTTCCATCACCAATCCCACATGGGCCTGAAACAACTACACTGACGCCCGTGACTATCACTAGAGCCCACCATGCAGTCCTTGAGGAGCCCCGAGAAGGAGTAGAAGCTCTTTCGAGCTAAGTAGCACCACTGTCGAATATCAAAGTCTATCTCAGCCACCTCCCCCCGACCGTCAACGTCTGCGTGCAACTGCAAGCTCTTGGTCAGCAACGCCGGTTTACCGTTGTATCTGTCCTCGACACAGTACTCACTCTTGATCAGTGTTGGAATATATCGCTTTATCAATTTTATATTATTTATATTTGATTAGAAATTTATATATTTAATTTAAATATATGATATATATTTATATTTATTTGATATTCATTTATTAATATCGCTTTCCTCAGCTTAGCAGTTACCCCACTAATTATACAAAATTTACAATAATCTCCCAAAATTTGCACGTGCATGTCCCCCCCATTGCCCTCGATGCCCCTACTCCCACCTGTTAACTATTCCTGGAAGCCCTAGGTCTTGGGCGTTCTCAATCAGAGCTATTATTTTCAAGGCGCTCTCGCCCTTCTTCGACACTCCTGTTTTCAACAACCTGTAGCACAACGGAAATGCATTTCGAATGATCGAGCGCGATATCCCTTCTTATCACATTTCACTTCATAGCAAGCATATTATTGGAGTTTCACCCGTTTTACGTGCAGTGCCGTAAAACTCCATGAAAAACGCGATCTTTACGCCTTGCAATAGTCGTGAAATAGTTTTTAACTAGTGTTTTTCATATCACTAGGGTGAAACTCCAATATCAATGAAGGGAATCGGTAATATAAACTATGTATTACTGTTTATTGCTGACTATTGATTCAGATATCTATCCGGCTATAATAATATTCACTATACGGTTATGAAATATTAGATATAATTGCGGAGCGAGCGAAGCGAGCGGAGCGTATTCTCTCACTTTACTAACACTTTGTGCGTGCGTGCGTGCGTGCGTGCGTGCGTGCGAACAAATTATCCAGCTCGATCTAGAGAGGTTATGATCACATGCTATACACCACTCGATAGCTCTCGCTCTGGGGATACTAGGAAAAATACGAAATTAGGGTTCCGCCCGGACCATGTAGATTTCCGTGCAAAAAACATATTTTTGCAGAAAAACGCCAGGCATGGGAATCGAACCCGGATGCCGAGCTCCGCCCCTTCTCCGAGAAGGCCTAGTATAGGGATAAAAAATAATATTACTAAAAAGTGATCTACATAGAAAATGACCCCACTACACATACGCTCACAGTCAGCGACGAACAAAAACTGTGGAAACGACATTACCGTGATCATCATAGTGGCACCCAGTAAAATAAAACAGCACGGAATCAACAACAACGCACATGCTCGAAAAACGCATAGTTCTATCCGAATGTATGGGGGCTCCTCCTCACTCTTTGAACAGCCTAATAGCGCTGATCTGCTCCAAATTGCCGCTGTGGTATTCCTCAAGCACCGTGGGGTTCATCACGAAATACGACAGCACCGACATACCAGGGTCGTTGGGGTCGGCAGAGGTGAACAGGCCAGGTGGCGCATATCTGTGCAGTCAGCTGAGGAGAGTCTCATGAGGCTTTGAACCTCCTTACGGTAACTGACAGTTCACCACGAGGAACCGCGGTATGCCAATTTCCTTCTCCCAGCGGTGACCATTGATATGATGAACACCTCTCCAAAACGAGGGCACCTCTGAGCTGTGCACATCGTCACCTTGTGCGATCTGATGGAAAGTTGAATCAAACAACTAAAACAGGCGGAGCGACGCAAATCCGAGGGCAGATTGCTCATACAGTGCGTCCGCGATTAATAGGCAGTCATGAAAAATGACAAAACTCGGGACTCGATGAGCGAATACATCAGAAACAATTCTTACTCTCTGGAATACTCTGAGTTCCGCAACCTTCCGGAGCACCATGTCAGACTTCACAACGTCCACTCCTACACACTCGTAGATGGGGTATCTACTCATTGAATTGATCAAGGAGTGGTATGCATCGGAGGCCCTCTACCTGCTCGGCAGCTTCAGCCCGGTGCTCGCATACCCTTTTTGGCGGACTTTAAAACACGTCGCATTCCCCTGGGCCCAATAGCAGGCCCTAGGATCTTCTTGCGGTCCAAACGGTACCGTCCCTATACGAAACCCATCACCAGCGTCAGCCGCGCCTTCACTCACCGAAAGGCGCCCATCCGAGCAACTCTGGAGGCGGCCACGGGGTGTACCTGACGCTGGTCATACCCCACCAATGACGGCTCGTCAGTTACTCATATCGCTCTCGACACAGGTCGTAGTCAGCTGCCGTAAGCTCGCCGTCTGACAAGTGGCTGCTACCACTCCCTCGTCTCCTCCTATTCACATGCCCCATACTGCCTATCACAGCAATAGGTCGTCATCGAATAGCTCCTCCTTTTCTTACCAGCCTTGCCAATCTTGATAACCACACCATGGGCCTCCACCCGAACATCTCTCCACCACAACCGTAGTCCTAAACACAATGTCCCCCCCCGAAGCCCTAGCCCTATAGGGTCTCACGTGAGATTGCCACAATACCGAGGATTAGATATGTCGATACACGCAGGAGACCAGGTAGACGTATGTCCCTGTGAGCAGGAACAGTAGCCTGAGGGAGACACTATGCGGGCAGTTAACATGAACCATATGTCTACCTCTGGTCGGTGCCCCGGCCCGGCTAGCAATGCCGTAACCAATGACACTATATCGAGGCCGATAGAGACACACAGGAGCAGGAAGGGGACCGCGGGGGGCAAGCGGACCAAGGCTGATCGTGCCCAACGAGCAAGCATCGACAAAGACCCCTCCCATCTCCTTCGCCGTCCTCGTCGTCGTCGCCAATCCCGAGCCATTGAAATACGATCACACTTCTCAGCATTCACTCCACGAGCATTCCAGCGCAACATGGGCGTAGCAGAACAACAGCAGAAACCATCAGAAACGTAGTGCATCATAAATTGAACACATGCGTGGAGGACGTCAACTCTTCTTTCTGCCCAGCGTTTTCGACTTTTCCAAACAGTCACTGATACGTTCTCTCAGCCGCTTAGCTCTGACCACTTCCTGAACCCCCTCACGACGATCCCGGGCGGCCGCTCGCAACCTGTCCACAGAGTCCCATAGAGACATACCGGTAGTGTCGTCACCTGAAAGTCCTCTCGTCAGTTATCAACCGAGGCACCTGCGTGGTGAGGTACACGGGTACAACCCCGGCACTTCGCAGTTTTCTCGATCCCAGCACCGACCTGGTACACGACCAAGCTAATACACGACTGACGGGATGTCTTACTTGATGTAGCCCGTCGGTACATCAACAGCATAGCCCCGTCGTGTTAGAGCGATGCGCCCCAGAGGCGATATTCGCTTCTCAGGCCGGGACGGTAGCTTGCCCGATGAGGAGTCCACCGGCTCAGTGAGGGGCTCCAACATACCATGGGCTGAACCAACAAGCATACAAGTAGCCAACAGTGGCTCGGCTCACTTGCAGCCTCCTTTATAGCTTCTGAAACCAACTTAGCCGCCCTGTCCTTGCTCGGGACCTTCTTCAAGTAGGGGTCCAGGAGGAGTACCTGAGGGTCCATCATGAACATTGACACCACAGTCGGGAACTCTCATGAACATAGTCTTCCAACGAGCGCACTGTCCCACCGGAGAATAGCCCTTTCGGCCACTTAGTAGACTCGGACGCGATCGAGCCGAGGGCGGACTTTGGCGCAGCGCCACTAAATGCAATGCCGCCGCCAGGTTTTGAACCGCCGCCGCTGATCGAGTAACGTCAGGGTCGTCCACGCCAAACAACAGCCTGACCCCATGAACAGGGTCCCACAAGGGCCACTCAGAAGGTACGCCTACGAATCCGCGGTCTTCCAGGCCTCAGTGTCGATACTACCCTCTTTGGTAGACTCCTGTAGCCCCTCCAGAATGCCCCGAACCATCGCCTTAACCTAACCAGATGCCATGAGGGCCACAAGGCACTCTCAAACAAGGCCCTGCCTTCTCGATTTTGATGTCCCTGTCCGTCGGCACCTGCGCCGGCTGGACACCCCACTGTGCAGCGATCCTTGGTGGAGGCAAGGACGATCGACCCGAGGTGAGGAACATGATGGACTTGCACCTTCAGGAGGCGAAACCTCAGCCAACAGACCAGCAGGCACCTCACTTGTCCTCGCCAGCCCGGCCGACCCTCTTCACTGTCTCGGGCCGTATACGTCCGACCCTATGTATGTAGTTAGCTGTCGTCTTGGGAGCTCCGTAGTGGATCACTAAGCCTATGCCTGAGACCAGCATCATGATAGCTGACCGTCACAACAACAACAACAACAACAACAACAACAACAACAACAACAACAACAACGACAACAACAACAACAACAACAACAACAACAACAACAACAACAACAACGACACCTCTCTGAATGGTGGTGTTAATAAAGTCATACTTGGAATACCGTCAAGTGCCAACCCTAAATTGGCAGAGTTGGTGGTGAATTCTGACAAGGACTTGGTCTCGACGCTCACTAATAGATACCTTGCACGGAAGTTCCATAGCAGGGAATGGGGTGCGTCTGAAACTAAGCTTCTTAAAAGGTGTTTTGGTGTGACTGCTCTCCAAGGTATACCGGAATCCCTTTCACATTCTTCTGATGGTATTGGCGCATGTTGCTTCAAGCTGGAAGGAGATGGTTCTCCGCCACTCGATGATGGAACTATACCAATTGTATACACGGATGGTAGCAAATTTCCTATGGATGATGGTTCTCATAGAGTAGGTGCGGCCTTTATCTCCCACCATTCTGGTGAAGCTGGTCTATACTGTTTGCCGAGTCATGCCACAGTGCAGCAAGCTGAGCTAGTCGCGATAAAGATGGCCTTGAAGACTATTAATAGAAGATGTATGGTTGCCGTTGATTCGAAGAGTGCTCTGATGTCGATCAGAGGAGATAGATCCACGACTCTGCTTGAGGAAATTCGTGGTCTGATCCGGAAAACTGGAGCTATGTTCACGTGGGTAAAGGCTCACAATGGCGCTCTCTATAATGAATGGGTGGATGCTTTGGCGAAAAGTGCTACGCGAGTCGGTATATTTATGGAAGTAGAAGTCCCAGCGAGGACTACGACAACCTATCTCTCCAAGCTTGGAGATGCAAGGAGACCTATGGTCAGGTTGAAGCATTTGACCAACACCACCATAACAGACTTTGTGGGTTCGTGGCATCATGTCGATACACTCAGGAAGTTGGCAAAAATGAAGAATGGGGTTTATGCTTTGAAAGCGGTTTTTGGTTTGCTACGCACTAGAAGATACTATTCTAAGTCGGACTCTACGGTTTCTCCATACTGCGACGTTTGTGGTCACCTTGGTGATTTCCTGGACGATACTAGGCATGCCCTGGTATACTGCAGGAAGTATAGGTCATTGAGGTTCAAGTACTTTGGTCCTGAACGTATTGATCCGGTTACTGGTGCCCTGAAAATTAGGTTTCTCTCCTTTCTGGCTACCTTGGAAAGAGGGAGAGCTCTGGGACTTTTTGTGAAGGAGACTAGGTTGGGTTAACCTAACTTTATCAGTCGTAATACGCATAAGCGTCACGACTTATTTCAGTGAACAACAACAACAACAACAACAACAACAACAACAACGACGACGACAACAACAACAACAACAACAACAACAACAACAACAACAACAACAACAACAACAACAACAACAACAACAACAACAACAACGACAACAACAACAACAACAACAACAACGACGACAACAACAACAACAACGACGACAACAACAACAACAACGACAACAACAACAACAACAACAACAACAACAACAACAACAACAACAACAACGACAACAACAACAACAACAACAACGACAACAACAACAACAACAACGACAACAACAACAACCACCGACCCACCCGGGATATCGAGGCCTCTCGCAGCGATGTCAGTGGTGATGAGTACGACTGGCCCAAAGTCTGCTAGGGCCGTTCTGTACGAGTCCATCTGAAAAAAAAGGCGGAGCGAAGCAGCACAGATGCCGATAAACCTACCACTTGTTTCCGCTGCGAGGGCGACATATCCGCATGGAGGGCCATCATGCGCCCCGGAGCACAGACATTCCTCAGCTGGGGATCATCAGCCAACAGGCATACCTCCGTCTTCTCGCGACAGTATACCAATACCTAGCATCATAACACGGCGAAAAAAAATTGAAGTCGCTGTAGTTGCATAAAAAGTCTAACCTTGTTCGCCACCTGGATATCACTTCCAGACCCTGGCCGCAGCTTCTCAATAGCCCACGTGAGCTGTCGGAGCCTCCTCTCAGAGTTCGAGGAGAGCCGGGCATACAAATGGCTCACTTCCCTCAGTGCATAGACGATCTCTGAACAAGGCCCTGCTGCCCCCAACCAGCCCAAGGGGGCCCCTCCAACCCTTACGAGCTTCCATCTCTTCCGTAGCATTGAGGACCTCATATTTGGGAGACAGCTCCCTAAGCCTATCCTTCATCCATGCATCGAAGGTGGCCGACGCGTAGATCAGCTGTGCCTGTGGTTACCAGTCGGCCGGACCAAGACGAAAGCAGGGCCCTACCTGACGACCCCGAGTGAGCTCTCGGACCAAGCCCAGCACTATCTCGCTGGTCAGCAGTACGTCGGCCTCGTCCATCACAACGCATGGTAGTAGAGGCTTAGGCTTCTTCAGAAGACCCTCAGCCGCAACTGGACTGGGGGTAATTTCCGGGCGCGCGACAGGTTTACCCAACGATAGTGCCCTAAGGTGAATGCTGTGAGGGTCCGTCCAAAGGCCTCTCCCTACCCGTGCTCGGCGAGCCACTTCAACCGACCCGGCGTGCCCACTACAATGTCCGCCCCATGACTGAGCGCCTGACCAACTATCAACTATTGGATGCTAGCGTATCCATAGGACGACAACATAAGATACAAAACAGGTCCGGAAGGCCCCTCACCGTAACATGGGAATCCCGGACATCCCTGCCTGTCCCCCCTGCACACAACTGTACCGACATCCAAGGTGGCGAGTATTTCTTAACCTGCCCTATACCCCTCAAAAAGCACTAGGGAAAAGCCTACCTCAGCGTGTGCCTGCTCAGCGAGCTCTCTAGTGGGGACTATGACCACAAGCAAGGGGCTGCCCTTGCCTGCCGACCTCACTATCGTTTTCTGATCGGCTGCTGACCGTACCGCACTGAAAGCGGCCATGTCAGCAGAAACCCCTCATACGGAGCAATCACCGTCCTTCCTCGTCCCTCTTGATACTGAGCCCTTCAGACACTCGAACAATACGGTCGACTACTGGCAGCAAATACGCTAGGGTCTTCCCTGAGACCCTCCATCATCACCCTACAGTACTCATACGGTGTCTACCTGTCCCAGGTGGTGACACCATGGACACACTGCGCTGATCCTCTCCTCCTATAACAGGGTATGCTAGTCTTTGTATCGGCGTAGGCAGCTGAAACACTCCACTCGATAAGCCCCTGTCCCCACCCTACTGGAAGGTCCTTCAGCTTGGTCCGTTGCTTGCCTCTCGTCCCCGCTTCGAGAAACCAGATCCCGAGCTTGCTCAAGAGGCTACTAGACTGCACTAGGTCGCCAAACGTAGTCGTCCGGCCCCTCTCGCCAGGGCCTCGGCCACCACGTTCACTGTCGGCCCCTCCCTTGGGCAGCGCCCCCCTGCGTCCTCTGAGAGGCCTCGCTACTACATCACCACTAAAGTGGCGTGTCAAGATGGTAGGTAGTCGGCTCTGCAGAGGTCCCAGGACTTGCAGCACTGAAGTGGACATCCATCTCACTAGAAGAATACACGGGTCCCCCTTCCCTCCCAACGCAAAGCCTCTAGGTGCACACCATAGAGTAACATCATGTTCCAATAGTGATACCTTGTCACGGGAGCATCGTCTCTTCTGGCGTTATCCCCGTCTCAGTGAGAGCTTCCACTAGTCCCCTCAGCTTGCCGCCGTCCCCAACACCCTAAGCCCGACCATCACCTGCAATGTAAAGACCAACAGCCTACCTCCCTCGCCTTGATCAGAGGTATGCGCTCCTCCAAATTCCCAAGCGGGGAAAGGTCGTATAGGAGACGCCTGATATTCTTCATAGGAAACCCTTTAGTACCTCCCCGACGACTACCTCCGAAAGGCGATAGTGATCATGGCCAGGACCATCCTACCTTCCTCCGTGTCCGGCAAAAACGACTCCATCGCAAAATCTGCAAGTTCATCGAGAAATATGCACATGGCAAACTACATGTGTTGGTGACAAATTATGAAAATTCTGAGAGGAAATTTCGGAAAATTATTTTTGGTTTCTGAAAATTTCTGC